ACGTGGTCTGGGGTTGGGCGCTGTTGATGCATTGAACGTGCAGTCCACACCACCTCTATATTGAACCAATCATAAGTGTGTTAATTTCGACCAATGTTTTCGGTCCTATTCAAGGTCATTCACTGGATTGGAACGAGAAACCATTGACCAATGGTTAGGCTCACATCGGGGGCGTGCCTGAAACATTAAGTAGCAGGCCGCGGGTGCACAGAGCGTGGTTGCTCGCCCTCTATTCAGATTTTACCTAAACAATAGGATAGTTATAAATTTGATATATGGTGAGTTTCTCCGCTGATTTACTTTGAATGGTATTCGTGATTCTTTCTAAAATAGTTCCTAATCAATTCGCTTGTCATTTTTATTGTTTTATAGAAATCTGGCGACTCGATTTAACTTGCAGGAATAACTTCCGGAAACGAATATGATACTCTTTGCTAGGATATTCACTGTTTATTGTTCACTGGGCGGTGCTTGGGTGTTTTCTGCTTGTTGCGGACTAATTATCTACGTTGGAATTTTCATTAGGGACGTGTTACACGGGATGGTGGGACTACTACATGCCATCGTTCTGAACTCGATCCCTAAGGATCCCGTTGTTCGCGCCATTTACGCTTGTTGACCTACCTGCACCAGAGTCCTCATGTAGATGGCCCCTAGATTCAGTGATAGACGAGGCTTCAGAATCTGCAGTCCATTTTGTGCTAAATTAATTACATTGCTATTTAGCGAAGGCCTTTGGCGAGCGGCATTGTTTAAAGGACTGTTCCTGGTCGAAACAAATAAAAAATGAGAGGTCTGAGTACAAAGAAAGCTTGAGATCTCTGAACGGTCGTTTCCTTATCACTACCCAGTCCGCTCGATCCAATGGGTAGCGCGGACCTGATTATCCTGCGGGACAAACGATACAGTATGGAATTAAACTTAATTTGTGAATGCATTGGGACAAACCAATGTGGGTAAAAGTTCGCACGAATCGTTAAATAGAATGTTTGAGCCTAGGTCCTCAATAACCTCGTGGGTAAAAGCCATTGAAACCTACGTTGAATTCAATATCGCCGCTCATTTCGAGCTTGTATAGCAGAATCGAAGAGAAAATGAAGAATTTCAGTGAACTAAGGTTACAAAGAAGGTACACAAACGCCTTCGTTTACGACAGCCATATCTCTTCGTGTCTCTAACCATCGGGTGCAATCGTCCCGAGGTCCCCAGCCAATTAGCCTAACCGGACCTATGTAACCGAGTCTCTTTGTCAGGGTTTTCATAACCTCATGCCAGGTCTACGTTTGATCGCCCTTGGCTTTATTCCACCCACTACCTGCCTCGGAAAAAATCGCTCGCCGTGGCAACCTATTTTGTGCCATCTGTGACACGTACCCCAACCAATGCAATTTGCGGAGGTCAACCACTTGCTCCAGTGGGCGATCGCGGTTAGCCTCTACGCTCGTCCGGTTGCCGCACTGGATTCGTGCGATGCTACGTACAGGGCGGTGTACAAACACCGACAGTCTATCTTTATTCTTTTCTCGTAATGGCTAAATTTCTTTTTTTTTTATTGCATACCTAAGTGTGATGAACAGCAAACGAAGTAAACTCCTAAGTCACAAGGACCTGCTGTGCAGTGGTGGAAACCAGCAACCTTAGCCCCGTAACTTGGAGTGGCGAACCACCCGATAGGTTAGGCGTGGTGTTGGACCGGAAGACAGCAAAGCTGTCTAACACCAAAGTCGAGTGGTGGTGGCGGGGCGCGAACCTCAGACCATAGGGTCCAAAGCATACCGGTTAGAGCGACTAAACCACTACGCCATCACCTGCCTGTGCACCGCATATCAGCACTGGCTGAACTACTGCAGCCTATACTCGACCATTCACGGTTAGTCGGATATCGCGGCAACGCCATAGATATCTCAAGTTTGCAAATGCCAACCGAGCCTTCTGTATGCGAGCTGACACGTCCACCGGGTTAGATGCAGTTGCCCAAATAGCATAACTCATCCACTTACGCTAATACTTCCCCAGTTAGAGTGAGGCTGGGTGCTGGATCAACCCAGTCTTGTAGTAACACTTTACACTTTGAAGATGCAAAACGCACACTGAACACGGATCGGCTGACATTCAAGCTATCCAGATAAGCTTGCAACTTACCTGGATCTTCACTTAGTAGCACAACGTCGTCTGCATACTTCAGTTCAGACAGTCTAGCTTCATGTTCCTTCTTTCTCTGTTGAATGTCGAGTTAAAACACTCAGTTGTGTAGTTATCAGTCTAGTATTCATTTTTAAGTGTCCAGCAGATACATATTCGAGCGTTCTTTTCAAGATTTCCTTCATCAGTTTTGTCTATTTGGAATTGTAAGAGTAACCTCTGTATGCACAAAGTCTACTTTTCACTTAAGGGTGTACACAACAGAAAAGTAACAAGTTGTCCCACCCCTTTTCTTGGGATCTTCAGACGATCGTGCAAACACTAGTGCCTCAGATGGAAACTCTGCCGCTGTTCCCTCGTCCTACCGCGACTACCGTCCAAGTCTCACCGATTGCTCCACCAACTGAAGCCCTTCTTCACCCTCGATGTCCTTTCAAACTAGCCACATTTAATGTGCGCACTGTGATGCGAATAGGATAACAGGCCGGTTTAGCTCGTACGCTCGAAACCATAGCCATCGATTTGTGTTGTATGCAAGAAACTCGCATTCAAGACTCCAGCTCCATTATCCGATTAACATCCCCATGAATCCCATCAGTGAAATTTCGCTTACGCCTCTCTGAGGACCCTGAGGCTGCGGCTTCCGGTCTTGCTGGCGTTGGTGTGGCTCTCAGTGAGAGAGCGGAAGCCGCGCTACTGAACTGAATCCCAAACGACAGTAGGTTGTGCGCGGTGAGTCTTGGAGGTTCGTGCAAAGTAAGCAGTCGTCGCACCGATAGACGAAACCTGTTTGTCGTGTCGGCGGACGCCCCAACGGACTGTAGGCCAGATGCAGTCAAAGATGAATTTTATCCTGACCTACACAACCTCTTACGTAAAGCGAGTCGGGCTGATATCGTGATTTTAGAAGGAGACATGAATGCTAGAGTAGGCCGACTGACTTCGAGTGAGGCGCATCTGGGTGGCCCTCTCGGACTAGATTCCTGTCGCTCCGAAAATACGTGTTTCGGAGACACAACATACATCTACATTGAAAGTTTCGAGCGTTCTAGCCAGGGCAGCTTGTTCGCCATCGTATAGAGCGTGCCGACATTGAACGCGGCTAACTGAAAAGAGGATTTTCGATTAAAAAATCCTAAAGCTTCGGAACCTCTGGCCTCGATGGTAAAACGCTGAGTGATATTCCATGAGTGGCGTGAACAGGAGGCATCTGGGTATATTCGGGATTGAAAGGAAGAACTAGACAGATGGGAAAGAGGTTTATTCAAATGACTTTAGTGCACAACATACGTCGAGGTAGCTCCCACCGACGAAGGGGTTTTTCTTCTAGAATCCTAACCAGAGCCTTTGACTCAAGAGTCTGATCCACAAGGCAGTGGGGCGTAAATCCAACGTGGGAGCATGAACGAAGCACCCGTTTAAGATCTACTTGAGACCTGTCACGAAAGGCCTTCGGGTTTCCGTTTAGTTGATTGTGGGTCCGCTGTTCGGGATTGGCCCTTAGTCCCATGCGTCCAATGAGACAAGCGGAGCGTGGACGGGACAGCACCTTATTGGTTGGTGACTGCCCAGCTTGGGCGGGCGGTAGCTGTCCAATGAAGTGCGAAGACTTCTCCCAATGTCGAGAGGAAGCCTCAGTAATCCCAAGCCTGCGTCCACCTAGCGGGGGTTGTTCGAACGGTAAACTGCCCTCCCCGTGTTTATTCCCTGGAGTGAACGTTCCATTGGCGGGTGTCTGTAGACAAAGGAAGCCAGAGGGTGCCGAAGCCGCTGGCGTTGTCAGACTGGGCTTTGCCTGGCCTCTGCTCATTCACCTGGGCACGATTATATCTACGGCTGTGATAAGCCATCCTGTGTAGCTCGCAAGGTCATGGAGGCACACAAGCCATCACACCCCGATATATATATATATATATATATATATATCCAAGATGGCGAATGCATTCGAAGTAATCTTAACGGTATTAGAATAATTGAGCAAGCGCTTGAATTTAGTGGTTGGCCAAATTTATTATCTTATATCACATTTCACACAACTCTGACGCCAGACTGTATCCCACACAATAATCTTTCTTCCCTGATTTCCATGTGGGCTGAATGCTGCCAGATTGCCCAGGCCAAGACAGGTGTATAATACGAGTCGATTGGGTTTCAGATGTTCTCTGTAATTAAGCACTTTCGCCATCAGCTTAGAAGCCAACTCCGGGGACGATTCCAAAGATGACATGACTTGGTAGAGTACATCTGGTAGTTTTAGCTTACATCCAATTTCTAACATGGTATAAACAGCCCACGTCTGTTATATGAAAGACGGATTCAGAAGTTCAGAGCAGTCAGAGGTGGCAACCAATCTGGTGCATAAGTCAGTCAGTAATGATGATCGAGTGTCTTGACCCGTTGTTACCCGTCAGGCCCTAGGATGACGTTTGAACTACGTGGGTCATCAATCAACTTTGATGGTAAACAACTAAAATACTGCTTAGTTTAAAACCACAACTAGCCAATGTCATTTTATGTCCCGGGAGCTCTGGTAAGCGATTTCATTCCGAACAGTTGGCCCATGTAACTGTGTTGTTCATCCCTACTTGCGTCTATTAAAGTGAATTGTGTGATAGGGAGATCAACTAGATCAAGCTGAGGATACAACTATCACACGAAATCCAGACTGATATAACTACTGATAAGTAGAGCTCTGTTACGATTACGGGACATGCATTAGAACTTCATCAGTTCCACGTGTTGACGAAGAGAGTTATCCTAAACCAATTATGTGGATTTTCTTTCAGTGGTTTGTATAACAATGTATCTCTAGTGGAATCTGATCAACGACTGCACGCTTTTTCGAGAATAAGGTCACATCAAATCATACCTGGGGACAGAGTGGCGCTATGAGTAGCGGTCAGGTGTGTATGCACGGACAATTCTTGGCCTTGAGGAATGGGTTCCAACGCAGACATTGGATGTGCTGTTCCCAGTAGGGAACGGCTATGGGTTTCCGGAACGTTGCCATTACCAGACGGACCGCGTGCGCGCAAATTCATCTTGTTGAATGAATTGACTAATCCACTCGTACGAGCCTCGCCGGACACCAGTCGAGGAAAAGGGACAGAATACGCAGGACTACTTTGACGACGAGGAGGATCCGACTGAACCGAAAAGTAGGATAGGAAAACAATGATCGTCATACCACATACTTCATTGAAAATGATGATGACTACGAGAAGCATTTATTCATTACCGTATGAGCTCCGATGAAGGTTGACAGAGTATTGAAAATCGGTTCTTGTAACTCGGATGAACTGAATTCCATTTTGCCTGTTCGCCGAGCTTGACAATTGGTTTGTAAACGTTTCATCACCAGCCGAG